AAAAAAAATACAGCACTTTTAAAATTCAGTACGTCTTATAAAGTATGAATCCCCTACAACGAGGAGTTGTTTAACTGAACCGAAGAATGAAAGGCGGATCTATTTCAAGCTCAACCCAATTTGAACTCACAGCATTTTGGTAGACTCACAGCATTTTGGTGGCCCTGAACCATGACCATGACCCTGACCCGTAGCCCATGCAAGCAAAACTGCAAAAGCAATTAAGGGATTGACCCACAAATCTTATCCGTACCTAACTCGTCAACCTCAAGTTCTCGTGGCTCCACCACTTCTTCTAGAATAAATATAGGGGTGAGCATGGGTAAGTATGGGTGAGTTATTTGGTTATATTTGGTTTTGCATAATAAATATTATAGGGGTGAGCATAGGTGGGCATGGATGAGATATAGGTGAGGTACTTGCTTACATCTTGGTGGACCTGAACCATGACCATGACCCGTAGCCTAAGCAGGCAAAACCGCACAAGCAATTATGGGATTGACCCCCCAAATCTTATCCGTACCCTATGGTCAACCGCAAGTTCTGGTGGCCCAACCATTTCTTCCATAATAAATATAGGGTGAGCATGGGTCGGGTAGGTATGGGTGAGATATTTGGGTAGGTATGGGTGAGATATTTGTTTATATTTATATTTGATTTTTTTGAATAATTTGATATTATTTACATGTATATATGGGGAGAGGAAAATAAGTTTCATAGGATTCGAATACGCCACTCACAAAAAGAAACAGCTCTAACTCAGGATCTAATATCATTGGATCGAAACAGACCATTCATATTTATATTTGATTTAAATAGTGATAGATATAAAATTTTAATGTTTAATATTTATTCGGTATTAAAAATTTATATTGGATATTTAATTTATTGGATATAAATATACGTATTAAATTTTATACTAAAAATATTTAAGTTAATATATAATTATGAGTTCATGTATATAATACAAGTTTATATATAAAATAAAATATGTGAGTATATATATTTATATATACACAAGTTTATATATATACAATAATAAAAAAAGTATAAACAAAAATTCACACAATTTTCTTTCAGTTGAATTTTCACTACCAAAAGAAAAGAAAAGAAA